CTAAGGGAAACTGGCTCGTATACACGTTACACCTGGGGAAAACCACGAAAACACCCATGCAGCCAGACCGTTCAAGGGATTCGAACCTCGGACCGAACTACTAGTTTCAGCGACTTGACCGCTCGGCCGCTGGTGGGCCTCACTGTCTATATGTAGTATATTATTCTGTATTGCTGAATCACTGAATAATGCTGTTTTATTCCCTCGTAGCATCAATGCTAGACCTTAAAAACAGTCTCATTTATATAAAAAAACAAGGGTCGCATTAGTCTACATTTAGAACTACAAATTTTGTTAAAATGCATGTACACTTCGCAAAGGATTTAAAGATTCTAAAACATCCGATATTGTATATACTGAGATCTATATAAACGTTCGAATGAATTCAGGCTTTTCTAGCGTAAGAAACAGAAACTGATATTTTGATTTTCGACATTACTCTTACATTTGCTCTGGCAAATTCTAAATTCTAATAGCTGTGGTTAATTTTATGACATAAGATGAGTGTTGTTCCTCTTTTTTCATATTATAAAAGTACGTTGAACATAATGTAAATAACTAAAAGGCTTAAAAATAATCTATGTAGTTCTTATCAACTTTTATCTTCATTTTATGTTTCGATAATACAGCTCATTGACTTGATTGATAATACAAGTGATTTATATTTTTTTGGTAATTTACACTAATAATGTAATTTATAATATAATGTTTACTAGTATTATTATGTAATTAATAAAAAACTCTAAACCCCTATATTATTTCTTGGATTGGTTTGTGTGCAGTCTGGTAATGAGTTGGCTACATTCCCCCCTTTTCCTGTTTTCTGTATTTTCACACCTTATTCATTCGTAATGCCATTATAGGTAAAAAAAAGTTTCGAATAAATGTGAAATCTCAATTTCTTAATTGTCATGCTTTCAAATGATTTACTTATGTAACTTATTATTACTTTTATATATAGGATTAGTTTATTTAAGTGTCATCTGTTCCTTCAAAATAAAATTAAGTTTACATTATACATTCCAATGCATTGTTAAATAAGTTATTCAGTTTAATTAGTTAATAATTCAGTTTAATTTAGATCCAAACGTTGCATTTCTTAAATACCAAATTAATACTTAAGGTTAGAATTTCTTTTCTGCTGGTAACAGTAGTTAGGAGATCCAGAAAAATGTAAATATTCGGACTATCCAGAACATTAAATATCAGAGCTAATTAAAACTACAGACCCTGCAGCTATTAACAATCCGAATAATTGGCTTATGTTTCAGTTCTGGAGGTTAAAAATGAATGGAAATAAAGAACACATTTTTCATGGTGTTTTACTTCAAAAGAAACAAGTTAAAAATATCTATATTTATGCAGAGATAAATATGTAATATATTTTCGGCAAAATCAAAACAGTATGTATTTACTCGAAAGCACAACCAACTTTTATTTCAGCTGATTAAAACAATAAAATCAACCTTCGCTGAAACCAGCTTAAATTTCACTGCCAACAGATGATAATAAAAGTTGAACTGAATAGAATTACAAGCCTACAAAAAATACTACAAAATAGTAACAATTGGACAATTGGAGTTCCAAACATTTGGACTTCAGATTGTAAGGATCCTAAGTTTTACTAACGTTTATTTTGTTTTAAATCTTTACTATCACTTCTTATTTTCTACTTCCGGCCAGAATTAAAAGCTTTAACTTATTTATGCAAATTTGTCTTGCTAACGCCAAGTACTTAAGTTGTGGCTTTTTGCCAAACAAGAGAGAGGAAGGAGTTATTAGAAGCAGGCCGCTTGCCATAGTAGTTTTTACTCGGTTGCTGGTTGCCTTCATGGCCAGAGGTTTAGTCCTCTTGATAATTTCAAACGTATCGTAGTTTTAGCAGCTCTCTGTACTACATACGGATTTTGTTAAATAACGGCCAATCTTAAAGTTAGGCACTTGTATATTAATCCAAAGTTAGTTTTAGTTAGAGTTTTAGTTAGTATTTTTTATATTCTTACGTTCAGACCACAAGTGGTTGGTCTCTGTATTCCGAAGTTCCGGAAATCGCTGTAAAGATAGAAAAATAAAGGGTTTCGTATACCCTTCCTGTGTGTATTGTCTACTTCACAATTTATTGAACATAGCTTGAGTAAGATCCCTGTTCCGAGTCAGGACAGTTCATGTTTCCAAAGCAAGTAAAGAGGAACACAAGTCCTGATAAGATGATTGTAGATTTATTGTTAAGATTTTTCTAATTCGAAAATGGCATTAAGAGAAGCTAGTGAGATACCTATTCTTTTCTATAAATCGACTTTTCTTTCTTTAAAGAATATTCTCACGTTATTCGTTCTGTTATGCAAATATATTCTGTAAAACGTAACAGTTTGTTCTAGAAACAAAACTAGAAACTTTGTTAATCTTTTGAGAAAGAAAAATTCTTCATTTATTCTCCTCCTTTAAATAAGACCTCGCATCTGATATTTGACGCTTACTGTGCTGTACGTATGCGCTTATGCATCGAGGTGCAAACGTTTAATTGCTTTATGGACGTAGACACAATTTATTTATAGAGGGCAATAGAAGAAACGTTTCTGGTTACTGCCATAAACGCTTTTCGATCTTAAACGCCATCAAAGCTGTCTGCCCACTTCTTTGGGAACATTATCTGTAAATCTTGTTTATATAGACCAAGTAGTAGTAAACTACACTTGAGAAAAATCGAATTAATTTTTGAACTAAATGCTTTTAGAAATCCTTTCATATATGTTTTCACGACTACGTGACAAAATACGTTTTAAGTATTTTAAATTTAGTTTCCCTTACGAAATATGTGCTGATTTAAAAAAAAATTAAAACTCCCTTCTTAAAGAGAATAAATTTGCAGTATAAACAGTGCGAATAATCGTTTTCGATTTACTTCCAAATTACTTAACATATTATACACATGCATTATGGGATTCTTGTCCGATTTGAATTGATTTTGGCAGTTTAAATTTTTCTCTTTTGTACGATAGACATGTTTTAAAATCTTTAATTGAAGAAATGTGTAATCATTTAGTAGATTTTATTGAACGCATATTGAACACGATTTTATTCTGAATGAAAATACAGTCATTATTATGTGCAGTGAACTAAAAACTAGATTGGTACTGAGCAATACATTTTACACGATATCTTAAAAAATGACAATAAAGCAAATTACTGTAAAAACTTATTTTATTCCATCAAGAAACAGATAAAAAATTAAGCAATGAAAAATAACTTAAAGTAAAATGCAAATAATGAATACAGATTAAAAATAAAGCTAATATTTTCTAATGAAATAATATAAAATAAATATCATCTGGATGAAGCAATACAAAAAACATAGTTTAAGATAAATAAAGGTTGCATTTTAATTTTATAGGAAATTTTAATTATTATTGTCTTTTTATCAAGGTAATGATAATAACTGAAACGAAATCAACTTTTTTTAATCTACGTATTATTAATAAATGGTATGAATATATGTGTAGAATATATAAGTAAAACTCTAAGATGAAAACTCTATTCTGTGCAAAAATAATCTGGCCATACTTTTCTGTATAAGTATGTCTAATATGTTTACATTTATCAAAACTGTGCTGTTTATTAATCTTGACAGTTTTGATAATCTTTAGATATTTTTCTTTTGTATGATTTAACACGATTTAAAAACCATAGCAGTCCTCTGAAACATAAATTAAACAACACAGTATTTGAGCAGTTAAAAATATTAGTTCTAAATGAAATTTTCTTTCAAATAGCTTTCCTGTTATTTAGAAGACCCAGTTTTGTAATATTCCAGATGTTATGAATGGCCCAGGGAAGTGCAAGAGTATCCCATGCATACATGATTCCTAATCTTAAAACTTCTTCATTGGAATAGTTTGAAAGTTTCTTATGCTTCTCCTATGCCTGTATATCAATGGATAGGGAAATCGACAATCTTCTAAGATGGTATTGGCAGACCCTAAAATGTGGCCTACTTATTTTTAAGTACGTAAAATTATTTTTACTTTTCAGTCTCAATCTCAGCACAAAAGATTTAAACTACCCTTAAGAATGTATATTATTTATTTGTTTTCAGTTACGTGGCATGTGTAACGTGTATACGAGCCAGTTTCCTTTAGAAAGTCCTCCACGAAGGCATCCCTCTCCTTAGGCAGATAGCCCTAGCGTGCTTTGCCCTACTTAAATAAACCAAACCAAACCATTTACGTGGCACAAACTTCCTAATATTAAAGTAAGAAATTTAAATGCATTTTATATTGAGAAGTTTTGGAGTTCTATTCTATTCCAACTATTGGAGAGCTAATTAAAAATTTCCGGATGTTCTTATTTAAGCTGGTGTTTAAGAACCTATTTAAAAACGAATAATGGTGAATTTTCTACAGAAGTTCATCTTCGTATATTGAAATTTTTCTTTTATTTTAGTGAATAAGGAAAAACAACTTTTCCATTTTTCCTGATTATTAACTTAAAAATGACGATGAAATTTCTAATTTTTAAATAGAGAAAGATGTCTTATCAACATGAATTTCTCTGGTAGTTTTCTACTGAGATATTTCTAAAACGAAATTGCAATTATTGCAATAACACACATTTAAAAAATTAATTTTATTGAATGTCTATTTAAACTTTATATTAATAATTTAGCCACTATAATATAAAGTCATAGATGCACATAATGTCTAAAACGACGAAAATAAATGATGAATTGTTTTTCCATTTAATAATTTGAAGGCTACTTAGATGACATTCTTAAAGCGAATTCACTACCTGTTGTTCAATTTTAATTTAATAAGGCTTAATCGAAGAATAGCTTTCTGTATACAAGTACATTACTATACTATTTTCTGTATTTTACGGTACCCACATTTAATAACTTTTGCTACTGATGCAATCTTTTGCTACTGAATCAAATTTAGAAAGAAAGCAAGCGGCCTGAAGCATTAAGCAAACGTGTTTCGTTTGAAGCATTAAGCAAAGACAAGTTTCAATAAACAGTTTATTAACAAGAAAATATTACAGCCATTTTTTTTGTTTTTTTTTTTTTTTGTTAGTCACAAAATATTTGCGCAAAATAAATGCGTACAGAAAATGCTCTTGGAAATATCTTCAAGAGTCTCCCCATTTCCTCAACAGCTTATTTCACTGAAGGGGCACATTTTCTACTCCACCTGGGAATAGAAGAAAAATAAATACACACAAAATGGCATATTTTAGCCATTATAAGCACAGATAATTATTAGTAGAAACAGAGTTAAGGTAAATGCACCAACAGTGATCATTGATGCAGAGTGGAACATTCTAAACTTAGAAAACTAAAGATAAAATGTTATACTAAGTGCATTTACTGATAATAATAAGGGTATCAAACTGTGTGAGTATAAATAGCTTTAAAAGCTTTCATATCTTATCTCCAGTCAATTAAGTCCAGAATGTCCCCTATCAGCTTAGTATCCAGTACTGATATATTTACCTTTACATGTAATAAGGCACTAAACGTAGCTTTTAGATGGGCATTTTTTTAATTCCTGAAATTTTGGGTTTTTTTGGAGGGGTGGCAGTAATTTGATTTTTTGGCAATTTTTTATTATTAAAATTATCAACTCGAAAGTCACATACAATATTTTAGAAGATTCGTTTAAAAAGTAATTTTTGGTCAATTGCATGCGATAATACAGTAAATATTCGCTTTGTCATACCATAATTGACTACGATACATATTTATCATCAGTTTATCAAACAAGCCAAGCTAATAAAGTCGAATTCAAGATAGTAATTTCACTTGTCAAAACAAAAGCAGGGCATATGAACTTTAAGGTCAGGAAGCAATTGTTCTGAAACGAATGCTTCTAAAGTTTTCATTATATTTCAGAAGGGCAAATTTTATTTCCTATGATTTATGTCTCTGATTTCTTTCTTTTTAGCGGGTATAAATCTTATGAAGCGAATCTGCAGCTTTAAATAAGCTGATAGCGAGAAAAAATGTATCCAATTTTTTTCTGGCATTACATTTTGGGTATAAATTAGTATTCTATTCTAGCAACTCTGTTCAGGAAATTTTTTAAAATGAACTATTTTTTTTTCAAATTCCTTTAAAAAAACTGAGATGTGTCGAAAGAAATCCTTCTGTACAAAATATCGGAAACAAATCTTTCGATTAACACCTTCAAAAAAGCTTTCAAGCACGCCAAAAACTTACATGGATAAATACTGCAGAGAGTACTGAAAATACCACGCCTGAGAATCACGACATATGCATTCTTTGAGAAATCGTTGGAGTCATGTTAATGAGGTATACTTATTATGATATAATAGGCGTTAACAGAAAAAGTATTAAAATTCTTGTGGACTGTACGTAATTTAAGTAGAAAATGATTCTTTTAATATATTCTTTAGTAAACTAAAGAGTATCTAAGGTTTTTCTCTAAATCTCCTTATGTAACTACGGATTTAAATTTTTTACTTTAATACTTAGAATAGCATAAAGCTGCAAAAGTGTTAAGACTTTTTATAACGAGTATTCAAGATTTATGTTACAGCATTTTTAACTTTCAGCGTTTAAGTAAATAATTTATTAGTTGATAACCTGAAATTAATTAATTAATTTTATTGATTTGCATTTTTATATTCATTATAAGTTTTTAAGTTAATTTTCAAAGAAAAAAGAAACTGAAGAAATTTTAGTTAACATATGATGTTGCGTGGCCCCAACTTGTCGGCAACAGTAGTAGTGACTGCTATGAACTGTAAATTATACAACTCGTAAGAAGGGTTTAAATCCCTTTTTATTTCACTTTAGAAATCACAATTGCGTTCACTTGACGCTCACAAACTACGCCGAACCGGCGGTTAAACCAAATAGAAAAGTACAACTAAAAATAAATGACAGGATGAATAAATAACGAAGTCACTATCTACGAGGCTAACTTAACTAACTTAACCGCGTTCTAAGATACAGCTGAGATTCAGCAAACTTACTGTTTAAGAAGTTGAAAGATTCAACGAACTGCCGAAATAGGCACACAGGCCGAAACGCGCGGTTCTTAAAATTTCTACCTAGCAACCTTCACGCTCGCGATTCAAGAAGCACACTTATAAACTCGTTTCCCTTCTATTTAAACTCAATTTACTTCTGCTAAAATTTGAATACTCTGCGCGTTCTACTAAAATTTACATACTCTGGCATTGGCAATTCCAGGGGAAAGTAAAGGCTTGACAGGAAAGATAGCTTAAAATAAAATGTTAGTTAAAATAAATATAAACCCTACAAACATACTAGTAGATATTAATTTTATCGTTATTTGACACACCATCATTTATCATTAATTATTAGTTAACTCTTTTTTTTTTTTACATTTTTGCATTTTTGTTATTCTTGGGTTTTTTCGATTATATCCATTAGTTAACACAATTTCGCAATCAGCTCCTTTTCCACCTATTTTTAAGAGGGTTACATTCATAGGATTGAAACTGAGTAAGACCGACTCTGCATAAGGATGGACACTGAGTAAGACCGGCAAAATGTGTGACCGACACCGTTAAAACATTTGACACTGCCATTCGACTGGCACTGTAATCTGTTACTTTCGAATAGGCACTTCAAGGCCATTTCCCAGCCCATCCGTGGATTATAACTATGGCAAACATAGCAACGGATAAAAGGTCGAATCCTCTAATCTGCTGCACTATCCTAATTTCTTTGACCACGCAAACTAAAATCTTAAATGAAAGGAATGTCGCTATTACCTTGAAGTAGCTATTTAAAAATAATAGACTTTAGTTACCGGCATATAACTGATATAATAAAACAGAAATTTAAATAATGATGTAGTGATAGGTAAGAGGATTAATGTGAATATGTCACTATCACAAATGTTTTCAGACATACGACCGACACTGCGTAAGGTCGACATTAACATGCATCGTCACAACATAGCAACAACACCGGCATGCAAGAGAAATTGCACAATGTATCCAAGAATTATAATTAGTAGTAGAACATAACCAAGAAGGAAAAGATTTCTGTATAGCACTTGCACAAGACTGATACGGCATGCAAGTTGAAACAGGTTTTTGTGCTATCTTATCGATCCTACACCAGCAGAGAGGCTGCCGGTTCCATGCAGTCTGGGTTTTGTGCCCCATGCCCTTTTCTTTTCATAGTCATCTATTTTCTTCAGAAGAGAGTTATAACTTTTTTATACTTATGTAATTAATAATATGATTCTAAGCAAGAAATTACTAGTATAGAAAATAAATTGACTTCAGAAATTCATCTTTCTGGAAATTGTATCCGTTAACTGAACGACAAATAAACATAGATTTTGTAACACTAATTACAATCCCGTAATCTATTTATATACACATAGTTGCTTCTTGAGATAAAGAATATAATTTTTTAAAATAATATAAATGATAAACTTATCACGTCGTTAAAAATTATATCCTTAAACAGTAATCCTATAACTTCTATAGTTCAAAACTAATCACGTAAAAACATCCACGTTTCCAAAATATAGTATATAAGTGCTGATTTCAAACACTTTAAAACTTAAAGATCTAAATGTTTCTTATTCTTTTACAACAAATAGTGTTACGGAAACTTACTTCTGAGGCTTTTTTGGGAAGGGTAACTGTATTTAAATTTGTCTTTTAACTTGAAAGAAGACTGTTTGACATCTGCGATAGTTTGTGCATCTGAACTATCATCAGAACCTGTACAGGAGTTAGTAATGGATTAGAAAGCAGTGTTAGTTAGACAGATGGTTAGTTCAGTTAGATAGATGTGCAAAGCATAGAAAAAGTATTATTAAGGCATATCTTAATGTCTGCTTACATCAACCAAGCATTCATAAAATAATTTCCTGTAACGTTAATTAGCATATTTTAATATCACTGGAAATGGCAGATTTAGAACTTTTAGACATGAACGTTTTTATTTCTTTTGTACACATAGCAAAAATACAAATAGACAAATTAAGGATTTGTCTAATAAGTTACAAGCTCATGATAGAAATTGTGATGGAAACTAAAACTATCCAGTAGCTTAATCTTATAACATATTTTAAGAACAATTTATTCTTCTTAAAATAGTTCCCTCTTTTTAAATCTTTAGAAGAATTTATCAGAATATCTGTAATGCATTACAGTTTGATAGAATATATGCAATACATTAACTTTTTAATGTAAATATATTCTTGCGTAAAAAATTCTTGTGTATTATTTTTAGTCTTCTTTAAAATTTTCTGTAAAACAGATGTTTAAATATTCCATTAAATTTAGATTTTTGACTTTTAGCATATCCTAAATTACTCATGCACATAACACTGCAAAATTCTGTTAAGAATTCGGCATTTGTTGTCGAGTATTATGCATAACGTTTGTTCAAGCAAGAGGTTTGCAAAATCAGACGATAAAATGGCAGATCAATTCCATGCATTCTTTGAAACCTTTGCTTTCTTTGTGATATTATTACGAAACCGGTACCTACAGTACCGTATTGTTTGAAACCCAAACATACATAAAAGTTATGGTAAAATATAGATGATAAAAATGCAGCATATTTTTTAAGAAAAGATTTCTGGTTTCAAATCAAATTTATTTAACCACTAGAAACGGCGAGAAGAAAATCAGATAAGAATTTGGCATTTAACGTCACGAAGATGGGGCAATTGACACTACATAAAAATGTAAAGAGAAAAGAGGTCAAATCTAAACTGCAGCAGGAAAACAAAAATCAGAAAATTATGCTCTTTTGAATTCAAAGATTTATATATCAAGATTATATACCCACGTTAATCCTTTGCGGCACAGTGTGTCCGGTCTGGACACACCTAAAAATTTCCTTCTGTACGCACAGAAAAATTGAATGAAAAAGAATTTATAAGTTGCTATAGATTACTCTGAACCTTCTTTATTTATAGCAGATGGTAGCTCAACACCAACCAGTCCAAATATTTTAGCCATGTTTAGTTTTCTAAGACCCTCATTTTTCAAAGAAATCTTCCAGATATTTTAGGGTATAAAAGGAATTGTTTGAAAAGAAATTTCTAAGTTATTTTTTTGGCTGTATGCTAATCTCCTTATTCTATATTAGTTTTAAGTTTTTACTTTGAAATCTTGCCTAAAATCAAACGGCGAACCTTAGGTATGCCCAGACCGGGCTCACCGATAATCTAGGACAACTGAGATTCTGTATTCTTTCTTTCTCCGCATGTCATCGGTCAGTTCAATGACAATGCTTGTTTCAGCACTCTTTTCGAAGCTCTATTAGTGGGCCCACCCACAAAATTAAACGATAAGTGCTACCTTCACAAAATTTTACTTGTGTACGCCTCTAGCCTAATTAGACTGCCTACCTTTTTTTTTTTTTTTTTTTAATAAAAACTTCAAATTTAAAAGGTAGCGTGCCGGAAAGGGTTAACAAATTTCAAGGACTAAAACTGACCAATTTTTGCCAACAGAATTCCAAATTTAAATGATTATAATATTAAATGCAGGCGATGGGAAATTTCATTCTTCTATGTATTGCTAGTTTTAATAGTGAATACTTTTCATACCTAGCTAGAAGACACTATTTAACTTGAGAAAATAAAAGTTGTAGAAGCATGAACAATTAAAATCTCATATAATACACAGCCGCAAATTTGAAAAAAAAAAAACAAATGTATGATGTGTAGACCCAGTCATTGTGCAGACTTACATCAAAGGAAGTCTGCACAATTACAGGGTTATGAAGTCACTTCAATGGAATTTATACCTGTGCTTTGTTATAATTCTATTAATTTATACTTGCCAGATGCAAAGCGAAGAAACAAATAATCAAACTTATGATTACTATACAACAGGGATTATTTATACTCGGAAAGCAACTTTATCTAAATAAACGAAAGATATTACTCACTTTCAACACAACCTGGACGACCGTCGCTGGGTCGAACGAATCCATGGCAGCATTCGTATTTGGTTGCTACCATCTGAGATCCTTCATTTGTTACTTCCCTGAAAGAAATACGGTTCTGAGTAAAAGGTGATATTTATTGTAAGTTATTAAATAAAACCAATAAAATTGTTTTGTTATTGTACTACATTAGTTAATGAGCCAAATTTTATATTATTTTATTTAACTTGTTCTTTTGGTTGTCCGTTTGCTAACTTGGGTCAAATCTTTAAATTAATATTACCCTTCCTCTTCTATTAATCAAAATTTTTAAGGTTTCTCACATATACATATTTATGATGACAATATAATATTCCACAGGAACTGTTCCAAAATCAGAAAAAATTTTAAATTAAGTGCAAAAGAGAAATCTTATTTTGGTGCATTTTCAATGCCTAAATAAAGTTATTGCTTTCTTTAATTTTATGCTTTACACTGGAGTCTTTCTTTTGGTTTGATCCGATAAATGTTTTGCATTTTTCTAAAATTATTTAATTTTTTCCCCACGTGTTTGTTTAAGCGATCAAACTAATCATCGCAGGATTTACAATTTTATTCCCCCACATAGAATAAAAAAATGACCTCCTATGTTTAGGTTTAGCAAAATTTCGAACATAATTTATTGAAATTCGGGGCTATTTAAAAAATTATTCGATTGTTTTTATAATCGTGAAATTTTTAACAATGATCAGTTTTAAAAAAAATAATTTTAAACATCCATTATCAGGAGCTCGGTAGTATTTCTAAACGAAAATGAGAATGGATATTTAAATTAAACAATAATTTAAATAAAATGAATGCATATTTAGTTCATTGAAAACATCAGAAGACTTTGTAAAAATGACATTGCGCGTTCTTAATTGTTATGTTGATTCAGAAAGAATGATTTTCCTACATTGAGATGTGGTGAATATTTGCATTCTTTCCGCATTCCATGGAAAAAGTAAACCAATAAAATACTAAGTGTCATGCTTTAAGTTAATTAAATATAAGTTTGGCACGTCCATGCGAGAACTGCATTATGTCACTAAAAAAATTTCAAGGATTAATAAAAGTAACAATACAGAAATGATACTCATAACAAGGCTCGCATAAATTTCTTCATATCAGTTTTTATATTTATAATTTGCTGTTGTTAATAATTCTGCGATTTTATTTCAAGTCAAATATGATCAAGCCTGTTATGAAAGCTAATGTTTTCAACTTTTTAAAGCATTTAATGAAAACCATGCAACTAAATTTTTTAATTATATCGTGTAACTTATTTCTTACGGTATGAAGCATAAATTACTTTTAAATTTATAGCTTTTAGTAATAAATGGATGAATGAAAACACCCAGAATTATGTTAATACTTCCTTTACTTTAATTTAATAATGATAATATAAGCAGACATACAGTGGCTGGACAAAAATATGGAAACACCTTCTGAAATGCATGTTTGAAAAGAAAGATTGATTTTAATGAAATATGTAGGTGGGGCTGGCGTTTTTGACTACTGACGCCACCTATCACAACTTCGTAAATGTGTTAACAGTTCAGTGTGTCGGAGTACTGTTATGTGAGGTTGTCATTGCATTATGTCAGAGTTAAGAGACTTCGAAGGTGGGCAAATTGTTGGAGCAACGTATGGTAGGTGCGTCCGTAAGCAAGGTGGCGAGGGTGTTTAGTGTTCAAAGATACTGTATCGAAGATTATCCGCATATAAAAGCGGAAAAATCATCTGCTAATCACAGCGCGGACGAAAGTTGTCCTGAGGATCGTGACAGACGATCATAAGTGCAATTGTGGCGAAAAATAAGACACAGCTGCAACTTACTGCTGAAATGAACGTTGTGTTTAACCGAACCCGTGAGTACCAAAACATTAGAAGGAGGCTTCATAAAACAGGGAATTGCTGGCCGTGCTGCAATTGAGAAGCCACTCATCATGATGCTAATGCCCGTAACGAAAAGGTGTTTTAAGTCATAAACCTGGACTAAGAGCAGTGGAAGCGAGGTATATGGTCTGACGATCTTCTTTCACATTGTTTCCCACTTTTGGCCGAGTTTACGTCTGGAGAACGCCATCTCAACCTATAATACAGACTGCTTGTTGCCAAGAGGAACATGGCGGGGGTTCTGTTATGGTTTGGGCAGCCCGTCGTGGTTCTCTGCTAGCCTCATGATAACTGTGTCAAGCACATGACTGCCAAGACTTCGTGAACATTTGGCCGATCAAGTTCATCCTATGTACAAACTTTGTTCCCCGATGGTGATGGTGTCTTCCAAGACGACAAAGCATCTGTTCATACAGCTCACATGTCCAGGACTGGTTTTCTGAGCACGAGGATGAGTTGTCCCATCTCCCTGGCTACCACAGTCACCAGACCTGAATTATCGAACCTTTGTGGTCTAAATTGGAACGGAAAGTGCGTTCTCGTTATCCACCGCCAACATCGTTATCTGAACTTGCCACCGGTTTGCAGGAAGAATGGTTTAATATTCCCTTGGCAAACATACAGGAACTGTATTTATCCATTCCGAGAAGACTGCAAGCTGTTTTGGATGCCAACGGGTTTCCTACAACAAATTAAGCAAAGAAACATGTTTTTTTTAAAGGTGTTTCCATATTTTTCTCCAACCCCTGTAGTACATAATTTAGATGGTGCCTCTTATTTTTAAGTGGAGTCACTTTTTAAGAAATCAAAGGTGTATTAAATCGAAATGAGTAACTGCAATTAAATACTACATCCTTTTATACTTTCAGCAGTAAAAAAAAACGAAACTTAAAATTTTCGCCATAAAATACAAATTACATTAACATAAAAAGCATACTGAATGTTTCTCATTTTCGATTTTATTTTCTTTATTACTTTTTTCAAAGGCATATCATCCGTCGCAAATTCAGTATTCGTTTTTTTTTTCTTTGATGCAAATGTGAAGAACAGATCATTACTTAAAGTGAGAGACGATTTGTTTGTTTTTACTACATTTAGTAAATAACAATTTGTTTGTAATATTTTGCTTCATGAAAGGGCAAAGGTTATTTTTTATCTTTAAAAATTTAGATAGGATGAAATCAATGATTTTTTTTAATACATGCTACATACTATGATTTTCTATTAAAAAATAATCGATAAAGTCTGTGCGCGTTGTCTGTTTGTTTGTTTGTGGCATCATCTCCTCCGGAACGGCGGGGAATTGAGTTTCGAGAGAGGTACTCTCCCGGATTCCGAAAATTCGTGGAAAGCCATGTCGAACATTCTCAGCTTCGTACGACTTTAATCAGCCGTAATATTAATTGAAAACTCTGAAAACACTAAATTTTGCACTCATTTTTAAAAATAGCATCAGTCTCGAAAGTCGCTGGAGATAAAAATGCTTTATTTCAAAAAGTGTTGCCACTGCTCGATTTCAAATCGTAGAGTTTGTTAATTAAAAATTTGTAAGTTTTACAAAATATGTCAGACATTAAATATGTTGTTATTATTATATAATGTCATATTCTGACGATGAAGATACATGCGATTGCATGTGATGTCATTGTATGTCGAAAGATGTCGAGAAGCACCATAACCATAGTGTTTAAATCAATCTTCCACTGCAAATAGTTGAGTGGGAAGTTCGTAGGTCCGGTAACCAGTAATAAATTTCATGGTATTGATGGTGATGAATTATCCTGGCATTAAAGCCTAGAAAGTTATATTCGCCAAAATATGAAGAAGATTAATAGTGTTATGACACAAACATGAAACAGAGCATAATATAAATCAACTGAAACAAATTAACTGACATTACTTTCTGTTGGTATTAAATAAATCATAAATTTCACAAGATAAAAATATAAAACTAGTTAAAAATCTGAATACATATCTGTATTTAAAACCATTTCAGGCTAATAAATTTCATGAAATGTTTGTCTTGGGGAAAAAAGTGATAGATGACTGCCATATGTAATTTCCAAAATCTCAGATTTTTCTCTGAAGTGTTAATTTCTCTATACGCAGTTGATTTGAATTTTATTTTTTCTCTTTTTTGGAAATCTAGGAGGACCACAAAGAAAGACTTCAAGGAGCATTTGTGGTCTCTGTTGACCACAGTTTGAGAAACGCTGTTCTAGAGTCTACAGGCGAGATGTTTTGCAGTTCTTATAAACACCAGCTAGCATTCAGTTAAGTGATCATTGCTTATATGCCACAGGTAAAAGCCAGGCCAGCAGCTGTGTAGACCTGACTTTTACCTGTACCTGCACCTGTACCGGTTGATTGATGTATTCCTGTACCTGGCTAACTGTTAAGCTTCTGCCTGTTTGGATTTCTCAGATAGAACACCTCGGGGGATGATCGGAGGTTCTCCCACTCCTCTTTCTCTACAACCAATCGCTTAAGAGGTTTCGATATGCAGGAGATTCTGAATGCCCTCTTACCGCGCAGACACTATACGTTTACAAACGTCCTCGCTTTTTCCGAGCTTAAAACCAAGGAACTTCAGTACTACAGTCAGCCTCATTAACCATTATCCCATCCGGGTGGCTACAGCTTGACCATAAAATCCAAGTACATAAAGATCACCAAACCATACGTGTATTGGTATGACTTAAAGAACCTAGTCGAAAGCCTGCGACCACAGTTTCTAATGAGACTTACCAGTTTACAGAAAACATATGAACTCAGCGATAAGTCGCTACACAGTTCCCCAAGTTCCTCAACCTTCACCTTAGACAAAAGAGGTGAGGAACTCTACACCTATACCTCAATTTTTTTTTCCTCGGAGGAGGATAGAATTTTCTGAGGTATAACTTTTACCAACACATCAGTCACTATTGTACATGAGGCTTAAAATTTCCGAGTAATCCCAGTGGAGCACCCAAATCGGTGTTCTCCAATAACCAGATATTTTTTCAGTCTAATTCAGCTCTCAGGGTACTTCCATTTCGATAACTGCAGCTAACCAGCATCACGGGTTTGTATAGACTCTCTCACCATGCAATATTGAAATATAAGAAATTCTAGTTTCCTTTATCATCAATGGCAGTAAAGTCTCATATTTTACAATTGACGGCTAGAACTATTCTTAAAAAAATCTAGTTATTTTCTCTCGAGTTCAAATAAAGTAAATGTTTTTAATTCCTTTAAATATGCCTTTAAAGCATCTTTATAATATATAAGCGGCTAAAGTGTGTGTCGCCGATAGTTTCTTGTTGCCACTCGGAAAAATGAGCACGGAAATTAATGTTTCCGCAGTTTTTAATTAATATCTCAACCGATTAAAGTCGTACGAAGATGAGAACGGTATCGATGGATTCGGAGAATTTTTTTGAATCCGTGGATACGCATCTCAAATTTCAACTCTGCGCCGTTCCGTAGATATTCGAGAAAAAAAAATTGGCACGTAGCCAAATCTCTTTAATAGGGAAAACCCAAGAAAGAAAGTATAAAATGTAGGGAAAAATTAGTTTTTAATTAATTTCTCTGCTAATTAAAGTACCAAGAAGACGCGAATGGTCAAAATGGCTTGCCACGGACCTGCGGAATCCAATGGTGTGCTTCCTTAAGCCCGGGAGCCAGCCGTTTCGGAGGAGATGATGTTACTTCACCCTATATATATATATATATATATGCAGCTTAAGTGTCTGTTTGTCACCGATAGATTATTGGTTGCTTGCGTGACTTTACTAGCCAATGGGGTGAAGTTGCCACGGCACAGGGTTGCCGTTTCAATTGAGACGTAGACAAATTTCCTGTAAAACTTGCCTTTGCTATGACCATCAATAATTCTCAGGGCCAAACGCTTAAGCGTGTTGGCATTTTTTTTAACCTGAGCCTTCATTTCGACACGGTCAACTTTATGTTGCCTGTTCAAGAGTTCGTGAAAGAACGGACATAAAATTAAAAATATGGGATGGTCTCTGCAAGGCGAGCTTAAAAATGATGGAATGATCTACACAAGAAATGTTGTGTACAAAGAGATCTTTGACATGTGAATTAACATTTCATTATTTAAATCATTTTTATTGATTGAGGTAGCGGTGGATTCTTAAGAAATATACCGCCAGTGGTTTCCTTCATTGTACTCTACGTTAAACAATTAAGCAGAAGGGGATAACCCGTGGGACAGTAAGCAAATGGGCGTCCTCGCCGCCTGTCCTGGGTAATTCAGTTTAAATTAGCAGACACCTTTGCACAAATCATTTTTAATTACAATTTATAATACCTAGAACAGCGGTCATTTCGTATGACCGCCGAGCTTTCTAGTTTTACTATAAATGATTTAAATAATGATATAAATTCGCTAGTCTAATTATGCATCTTCATCAAATACTCATTACAAATTAGTGTACAGAAGGAATAAGTTTATTGGATAAAATAAATTTTATCTTACGGTTTTTTTTTAAACTACGAATCGTCACTGAAGTTTCATGTTCTATAGTAAGGTAATACTTTTACCTTTTATTAATTTTTTTTTCTTTGCGCTATCTGTCTTATGCAAGAATGAATGAGAATTTTCATTTTGTTTCCTTGAAAGAATATATAGCAAAGTTTTCTTCCTTAGCTCTTAACAAAACTATTTGCACATGATTCATAATTTGATAAATGGTATACATGAACATTATTTCAATCTCTAACAGAATAGCATCAGAAATATTAAATTACCTTCCGAAGCAGACATATTTAGTGTTGGTTCCTTTGCAGCTCTTTGACTGGTGCTGGTAATCGGCAACTCCGAATGAATCGTCATTTATCCATTCTTTAATGTCATCAGGTTCTTGGGAGATTTTCTTCTCTTCACAGACATTTGGTCTGTAAAAAGAAATAAAATTAAAAATAATAAGCTATTTTTATATGGTATTATGTTTTATAAACCAGTTAAGAGTTCTGATTAACGTTTCTCTCTTTTGACTTGCTTTGAACTGTTCTGACAAGCCTGAACGTTTAGAAAACCGCGACTTTAGTTTCCAAAAGTAGGATGAATTACTGATATGGCGAATTATCCACAAATTTGGAATACCTAGAATCAAAAATTTTTATCAACGTGTTGTCGTTGTCGTGACTTATCTCACTTGTCTGACAGTAACATCAGAACCGGTTACAGCCGAAAACATCGCGGACGAAAACGTCGCGGAGAAAACAACGCAAGGCAAAAACGTCGTGCAACAAAACATCGTGGGAGAAAACATCGCAACGAGAAAACATCGCAGTTCTAAAACATCGTGGTACAAAACATCGTCGTCGAAAATAAAGCGGTTCAAAAACTTCGCAGTTTAAAAACATCGTCTTCGAAAATATCGTGGTAAAAAATAAAGTATCTACAAATCATCGCATGACGATAACATCGCAGACATGCTTCTTTCAGGCTTTAATAACTGTAAATGGGTATTCCCATAAGATTGTGAGCGCAAGATGGAAAGAAGGATAATTTTTTTACTTTCATACTTTTTATTAACTAATAAATTTTTGCTGAGAAAATAAAATGAAACTTAAGCATAGAAAATTAATGCAACTTATAGCACTTAATAGAATTTTAAACCGACTAGTTAACTAACAAAGACCATTAATAAATCATTTTATAAAGTTTTTACTGCTAATTTTTCATGAAAAGTATAATCTATAATTTGCATTTAATTTTTTATGCTTAAGTTTCCTTCTTACTTTTTCAGCAAAAATTTATTAGTAATAAAATATGTGAAAAAAAAATTATCCTTCTTTACATACTGCGCTCACAAATCATTATGGGAATATCCATTTACAATAATTAAAACCTGAAAAAAGCACGTCTGCGATGTTATCGTCATGCGATGATTTGTAGATACTTTATTTTTTACCACGATATTTTCGACGACGATGTTTTTAAACTGCGAAGTTTTTGAACCGCTTTATTTTCGACGACGATGTTTTGTAGCACGATGTTTTAGAACTGCGATGTTTTCTCTTTGCGATGTTTTCTCCCACGATGTTTTGTAGCACGACGTTTTCGCCTTGCGTTGTTTTCTCCGCGACGTTTTCGTCCGCGATGTTTTTGCCACGATATTATCGGCGGACACCATCAGAACCAGCCCACGAAATTCATCGTGACAAGGAGGGTCCGAGTGTCTCCCACCCCCTCTTCCTCTACCATCAACCTCTTGAGAGGACTTTCGGCTCGTCGCATATTTAGAGTGCTTCCATGCCGCACAGACAACATACATTTACAAACAACCATGCCTTGTCCGGGATCGAACTCGGTCTTTCGGCACGACTGTCAGAGTTACAAACCACTATCCCCGTTGGGTGGCGCACATATTTTGCTGTCATTGGAAACTGCTGCGTGAATTTGTCTGCGGTATTGCTAGACTTCACGTTGCAGTACCTTTAGTTTAAAAAAACCCAAATATTTACTACAACAAATCAATTCTGTTTAAAATTTTGTGGAATTATTTATTGGGTTGTTCGGAAAGTAATTTCGTTTTTTCCCGTCAGAGGACTTAATTACATTTTTTCGAAACCAACTTCACACTTAAGCCGCATAACCATTATATGTCTTGAGAGCTGATATTACAAGGCTTGTGTGTGAAAAAGTTCTATTAATTCTACGCAGTAGTTTTTGGTTGGTGCCCTTTTAAATATGGAGAGCAATAAGCAGCATTTTCGTCATATTTTACTTTTTTACTTCAGAAAAGGTAAAAATGCTGTCCAAGCGAGAAAAAAATTGACGGATGTGTATGGAGAAGGCGTGTTAACAGTACGCCAGTGCCAGAACTGGTTTGCAAAGTTTCGATCCGGCCATTTTGATGTCGAAGATGCACCACGGTCTGGAAGGCCGGTCGAAGCTGACAAAGATTCGATAAAGGCATTAGTTGATGCAAATCGGCGAATAACCACACGAGAGATCGGTCAGAGGTTAAATTTGTCGAATTCGACTGTTTATGGCCCCTTGAAAGGCCTGGGCTTAACCTCGAAGCTCGATGTGTGGGTGCCCCATGTTCTTACGGAGCGAAATTTGTGTCGTCGCGTTGACGTGTGTGATTCGCTCCTCAAACGTCAGGAAAATGATTCATTTTTGAAGCGGATTATTACTGGGGACGAAAAATGGGTCGTATACAACAATGGGAAACGCAAGAGGTCATGGAGCAGAAAAGATGAACCGGCTCAAAGCGTTTCAAAAGCCAACATTCACCAAAAAAAGGTGATGCTGTTCGTTTGGTGGGATTTCAAAGGAATCTTTTTTTTTTTTTTTTTTTTTTTTTTTTTTTTAGGTTTTACCGGACAATACAACTATTAATTCGGAAGTCTATTGTCATCAGCTGGACACATTAAATGATGCACTTAAACAGAAGAGGCCAGAATTAACCAACAGGAAGGGTGTAGTGTTCCACCAGGATAATGCGAGACCTCATACAAGTTTGGTCACTCGCCAAAAGCTTTTACAGCTTGAATGGGACATACTGCAACATCCACCATATTCTCCAGATCTGGCGCCTTCCGATTATTATCTGTTCCGGTCCCTGCAAAATTTTTTGGATGGTAAAACCTTTACCTCAAATGAAGATATCAGTTTTTTGCCAGCAAGGACCAAAACTTTTATGAGCGGGGAATCATGTTACTGCCAGAAAGATGGCAAAAGGTGTTGGACCAGAACGTCCAATATATAATTTAATAAAATATTTATTCAATATATGAAAATTGTCTTTCATGTTCCCCCAAAGAAACGAAATTACTTTCCGAACAACCCAATACTAACTCTTGCATAAACTTTGCACTTTCCAACTAACTCTTGCATAGTTAGTATTTATAATTCTTTTTCTTATGTGATAATCAACCAAAAAAAAAAAAAAAAAAAAGGTCTGTGTATTACTAAATATAAAAATAAATTATCTTTCATAAGACTTATAAGACTAATCTTTTATATGTCTTTGTTTTTCCTTTGCACAAAGAAATCATCTATTCTGCACATAAAAAATCTGACGTGGGCACCACTTGACATCCTTGTACTGCCTATTAAATTACGCACAGTTTTCGCTGCATTTCATTTAAACTTATTTTCTAGAATTATTCTAACATAAGTAACCGATCTGTCAAGGCAAGTTGAAAATGACATCAAAAACTGCAAATTTTAAAATTAAATATTCCGGGCAATTTTAGTCGTACGGGAGTCAACCCTCTTCTAATTTTGTTTTTTCGTAATGAGTATGAAACTTTCCCAAATATAAGTATAGGAATCGGGAGATCGCATTAAAAGTTAAGTTTCGTTAATTGTTCAAAATTAATTTTTTTAACAAAAATTTGACATTGGCAAAATATGAAATTTTTCGTCATTTAAAAGAGTTCTGTAACTGGAAGTATAGGAGTACTACCAACGATTGCGAAAATAAAGGCCGGGTGAGGACATTTTAGCCGAGTAAGAGGAGGTGTATATATATATATATATATATATATTTGGTACTGCCGATTGAAAATAAAGAAGGGAGGTGCACAGCAAGATATTATAGAAGAGCTATATACAAAATTTCCAAGTTCCACTTTTCATCGCTTTTAAGTTATACGATATATATACATATATATATACATAGGTACGAACGGATGTCACAAAAAATCTCTTTTGAATCGATTTTAAATTCATTTTACAATCCATTTTGGAAGCAAGAGAACTTCATTCTATGCGTTCATACAGGTGACAGGTGAATGCAGGGCCGGACACCTGGACGCCTTTGTAGAAAAATCGGGTGTCGTCCGGTACCCGCACCTATCTAGAGCAACACGACTCTCTCAGCTTCCTATGGGCTGCATCGGGAATTTATTAAATAAATACAGACATAGGTACATACAGACATTTTGAAAAAAAAAAAAAAAAAAAAAAGAAGAAGAAGAAGAAGAAAAAGAAAAAATGTCGTCCAAATGGAATTGGGAAATGGTTGGTAAAAATGGGTATTTCTATTGAAATAATACCCGAAATTATCCGCGATTAGAATACTTCCTTCACTTCATACAAGGAAGTAAAAATACTTAGCTTAAAACCGTCATGGTAACGTTTTCCTAGAACTATTCTAAGAGTATATGTAAATTAAGTGCACGTATCTGAAACCATGAAAAAATATAATATTCTAAAAAATTTATCTCAAAAAAATTTTTAAAACTAAATTAAATTGCATAAGTGAATAATTGTTGAGCTGGCAGTAACAGAAACAGAATATATATATATATATATATATATATGGGGGGTGCGTGTGTGTATGTATGTATATATATATATGTGTGTTGTGTTTGTATATATATGATGTGATGTACCAGCTTTAGTCGTAGCTTAAATTATCAGACGATAAGTTAAAAATAGGATCCATTTATTATTATTCAATAGAAATATCAGTTACAAAATCAGATATCCGGGGTAAATTAAAAGAATTACTAATAACTTTTTGTATAAAGTTTACTGTATCGTGACATTTAAGAAAAAGCCCCGATATTCCTTTTGCGAGTCCTTTTATAGCCTCTGGAAAGGCGGAGCATCCAAGAAATGACGTCAGCCTCGTCAGCCAGTCCAGTTCGCTTTAAATATCTCCAGAACATTCTAAAACTGTACGTGTAGAAAAGGCGGGAAAAACAACTTGTCTACGGGGCTGTGGATTTAATTTACCGTACTTTCATATAAGAGAACGTCGCCATTGAAAATGAAAAGAACATACAGTTAGAATTTTAAGTGTATTCTTGACTATGGAATTTTATTATTACATATATATATACATATATATATATTATATATATATATACATGTCAAAGCTCAGTCGATAGAATTTTCAACAGAGCTACATTTCTGAACTATAGCTGGA